TCAAGGCGAGCGCTCTACCACTTGAGCTACAGCGCCACTTCTGGTTTTCTGGTGGTTTATTGGAGATAGGAGTCTCATGGTCTCTCCTGCCCCGGCTGGCTTTGAACCGTGATCCTCAGATCTCAGCCTCCTGAGTAGCTAGGATTACAGGCGTGAGCCACCAGCGCCCGGCTTGAGAACATTTCTTAATCTTATTGTTCTCAGCTGTGAAATGATACCTGATTATGTTTGGGGTAATGTTTAATGACTCATACAAAGTGTAAACTTAGTTACTTTATAGATGACAGCTCTAGCTTATACAAGAAACAAGAAGCTGGGCACTAGTGGCTCATACCTGAAAATGTTAGCTTCTCAGGAAGCTGAGATCTGAGGATAACATTTCAAAGCCAGCCAGGGTAGGAAAGTCCAAGAGACTCTTATCTCAAATTAACCACCAGAAAAGCAGAAGTAAACCCTTGGCTTTTCAAAGGGCTAGAGCTCTCTCTTGGGCTGGGAAGGTGGCTCAGTGGCAGAGAGCTTGCCTTACACGCATGAGGCCCTGGATTCGATTCCTCAGCACCACATAAGAAAAAAAAAAGCCAGAAGTGGCGCTGTGGCTCAAGTGGTAGAGCACTAGCCTTAAACTGAAGAGCTGAGGGACAGCGCCCAGGCCCAGAGTTCAACCCCACGACCGGACCCACCCACCCCCCCTCAAAAAAAAAGGGGGGCTAGAGCTCTCACCTAGTGCAAAAGAGCTCAGGGACAGAGCCTGGGCCCTGAGTTCAAGCCCTGAGACCAGCACCAAAAAAAAAGGTAGAATTTCAGGTATGGGGAAATTGAAGTCCTAACATTTTGAATTCACAAAGCCTGTGAGTAGCTGAGGTTACATCTTAGTGAGCTTTTCTGAGTTTTGCTTTGCTCTCTAAGTAGTGTTTTATTGAATGGTATGTTGTAACCCAATCAATGTCAAGTAAAACTGAATCAGTGGAGTAACATTAGTATGAGTCACTTGCTGGGACTAAAACACAAAGCAAAACTCTTCAAACTAATGGCTGCATCTCCACGTTTCCATTCATTATAGTGATGTGGGATGAAGCCTGGAGGACGCACGCCTCTCCTGCCAGCTCAGAAGTTAGAATCAAAGCACAGTTCATTGTTAGCCACACTCGGTTTTCATTTAATCCTGTTACAGTTTTGTGAGGCCACCACAATTTGACCTCTCTTTTAGTGATAATAGAAAATCCCCTGATCCAAAGAAAGGAATTAGAAAGAGAAGAAAAGTTCAGCCCAGGAACTCCGAGGTAAATATAAAGCCCCTTTCTTTCTTTCTCTCTTTCTTTCTCTCTTTCTTTCTTTCTTTCTCTCTTTCTTTCTTTCTCTCTTTCTTTCTTTCTTTCTCTCTTTCTTTCTTTCTCTCTTTCTTTCTTTCTTTCTCTCTCTCTCTCCCTCCCTCCCTCCCTCCTTCCCTTCCTTCCTTCCTTCCCCTCTTTCTTTTTTCTTTTTTTTTGGTCAGTTGTGGGACTGGACCTAGGTGCTGTCCCTGAGCCTCTTTGTGCTCAAGGCTTAGTGCTCTACCACTTGAGCCACAGCACCACTTCTGGTTTTGGGGTGGATAATCGGAAATAAGAGTCTTATGGGGACTTTGCTGCCCAGGCTGGCTTTGAACTGTGATCCTCAAATCTCAGCCTCCTGAGTAGCTAGGATAGCAGGCATGAGCCACAGGCATCCACCTTTTCTTTTTCTTTTTTGAAAGTTTTGGGGTTTGAACTCAGGGCCTTGCTCTTGCCAGGCTAGTATTCCACCACCTGAGCCACACCCTTCAACTTCAATTTGAAAATGAATCTAATTTTCTGTTACAATGTTTATCTTTGAGATAAACTAGATAATTTATTTTGATACAAAGTCACATGGAAAAAAATGACTTGTTTTGGTAGTCTTCCCTTAATATACCTGGAGGATTGCATCCAGAATTACCTGAAGCGACTAAAAAAATCCTTTATATGAAATGGTGGCTGGGCACTGATGGCTCACACCTGAGCTGAGGGCTGAGATCTGAGGATTCCAGTCTGAAGCCAGATTAGGCAGGAAGGTCCATGAGACTCTGCTCTCCAATTAAGCACCACAAAAGTCAGAAGTGTAGCTGTGGCTTAAGTGGTAGTAGAGTGATCAAATGAACTATGAAACCTTAGATCTCAGCTTCCTGAGTACCCAGGATTACAGGCTTGAGCCACAGACACCTGGCTTGCTTGCCCACCCTCCTTCCCTCCTTCCTTCCTTCCTTTTCCCTTTTTCCCTCCTTTCCTCCCTCCCTCCTTCCTTCCTTCCTTCCTTTTCCCTCCTTCCTTCCTTCCCTCCCTTCTTCCCTCCCTCCTTCCCTCCTTTTTGTCCTCCTTCTCTCCTTCCCTCCCTCCCTCCTTCCCTCCTTCCTTCCTTCCTTTTCCCTTTTTTCCTCCTTCCCTCCCTCCCTCCTTCCTTCCTTCCTTCCTTTTCCCTCCTTCCCTTCCTTCCTTCCTTCCTTCCTTCCTTCCTTCCTTCCTTCCTTCCTTCCTTCCTTCCTTCC